CTAGCCCATTTCTCCAATGTCATCATCAACATATGTTTGGTGCACTTGCAAAGAAGAAGCATATTTGAAGTGATTTCGCTTTATAAGATGTTAATTCAACTGGGTTGTCTCCAGATTTCATGTCTTATTGAATTGCATGTGTATACAAAGGGTTTCAGGATGTTTTGCGTTTTGGGGGGATTTTGAAGAGGTTTTCAGCCTGATGCTGTGACTTTTACGTGTTTGATTAAAGGTCTGTGTGAGAGAGAAAAGATTCTGGAGTCAAGGGAGTTGTTTAAGAAAAGGTTGCTTTTGGTTGTAGGCCTAATGTGATCACTTATACCACTCTAATTCATGTTTTGTTTTGGGTGATTGGAGAAGTGTAAAAGTTTATTTATATTGATGATGGATCAAGGTGTGCGGCCTTCTGTGTGACATTTGTGTGGTCATAGATGAACTTTGCAAAAAAGGGAAATTGAACGAAGCAAATAGGTTGTTGAATTCGTGATTCAAAGAGGTGTGGATCTCGATGTTATACTTACAGCATTTTAATAAATGTTATTGCTTGGTAGATAGAATTGGTGATGCAAGAGAGTTGTTGATTTATAACTAGAAAGGGCTATAGACCTAAGTGTTTTGCTACCTACTTATCAATTGGTACTGCAAAAACAGAAATATTTACAAAGCTCTTATCTTTATCGTAACATGATTTCCGAAAGAATTAGGCCTGATGTGATTACATATACACCTTGAAGCTGCCTTTTCTTATGGTAATGTAAAAGATGCACAACATTAGTCAATGAGAGCAACTTAAGGTGTTATAGCCAATTCTTGACTATAACATTTTCATTGATGGATTTTGCAAGAATGGATGTGTTTTGGAAGCATTGGAAATGTTTAATACTTTAGTAGATAATAAGTTTGCAGTTGACCTCGAAAGTTTGAGTTCCCTCATTGATGGATTGTATAAAACAGGGAGATTCGAAGCTGCTTGGGAGCTATTTCAGAAATTTTTTTGTCAAGAAAACCTAGTTTCAAAAGTTGTAACATATACCATTTTGATCAATGCGCTTTGTAAAAATGGACAACTAGAAAAGGCAAATGAGTTGTTCTCACATATCGAGGAAAAAGTTTATGCTCCTAATGTATTCACATTCAATACGCTTATGTTCGGTTTCCTCAAGAATAATGAGGTGCCAAGAGTTGTTGAACTCCTTCATAAGATGGCAGAGTGTCAGTGGGATCTATGAAGCAGCATGTTCTAAAAATGGACTTGGGTAAGATCCCCTTTATCTTATATAATGGTGTTACCTTTTTAAACCTTGCTTAAATGTTTGCAGGAACAATGTCATCAATTAGAGAAAACATTGACTTTCTTGTTTTAATTTATGATAGCAACATGTGAAAGTTATAAAATAAATTAATTAAATTGGTCTTGTAAGATTGCAAGACGTGTAGTTTCTGTCCTATATATGTGAATGAAATTGATTAAAATGTTCATAAATTAAACTATGATTATCATATAAATGATATACAGGCAAACATGTGCTTTCATTTCTTCTTTTCGCTCTAAACCAGCTAATTATTACCATTATGGTTTTACTTATTTTAGGAGTACTTTCCTTATGTTTTTGGTAGCATTATGTTTTGCTAGAATTGGCTAGAATAGAATTTTATTTAGATATCATTAGCTTTGTTTTCTTATTATTATCAATTACCTAACATTAACATATCATCCAACTAATGTCAATCTCTTATAGTTTTATGTAGTTAATTTAATTTTGTTCAATGTTTTTAACATACTAATAGACCCTTTTTTTTTTTGGTAGAAGTGAATGAAATTGATGAAGAAATTCAAGGAATATCCGTTGCAAATTTAGAGGATGAAACTTAATATGTTATGTAATTTTAATTTTGGGAATAGTACTTAGAACAGTAATAATTTCTGTAAATAGATTGCTGCTGTGCTGGAGGGTGTATTTCTAATGTCTATAAACTGTTGGGGGTGTATTTAATGATAAGAGGGTTTATATGTCATTTTTTATTAAGTAGGGGGTAATTAAAATTATCTTGGGTACCCGAAACCGGAATCGGAACCTATGTAGGTTTCGAGAAATCCGAACCAACCAGTTCTAGTTCCTTTGAATTTGGTGGGGTACTTGGACCTGTTCACCTCTAGTCTTTTACAATCATTGTTTGATTATACTTGCAAGAAAAAGTTTATGTAATTGATTGGTTCTTGTAATTTATTACTATCATCAAATTTTGTGTACAACAAGAGATTAATTAGAGTGAAATATAATTATTGGTACATACTGTATTGGATGTAAGAAAACTATTTTGAAATGTTATGTGAATTATTCTACTGGTGAAACATTTTAGTTTTCCAATTCTTGTGAGATGTAAGAAAACAAATAGATAAAATTCTTTTTAAAATCATTATAAATTGATTCCAAAATTCGATCTTTAAATCTATAAAATTTATCAAAAAAAGATGATGCATTTGATCACTCAGATTAAATGGGTTGGTTGGTACTGCAGTTTGGTTAACTAGAACTTCTCTCATTCTAGCTTAGGTAAGAAACAACTCAATACTTAATGGCCTAAGCCTCGTGTCGACACATTCCCAGGGGTAGATAGATTAAAATCCATCGAAGCATTTGACATCGACAATGTCTTTTTTAATATTGACATCTGTGGTAATAATGTAATATCATGAATTTTATTTTATTTTATTTTTTATTTTTTTGTGATTATGTATAACAGATATCAGAGCAAAGAGAGGTTCATAACTAAAATATCTCTTCCATGGCTGATTTTCTTGTCATTGATTGGGACTTCTTGACTTTGATCTTTGGAAGAGTGAAAGACTGGTCTTTGGAAGAGTAAACAAAAACTTGAGCATCCTTCAAAAATATATTGGCAATAAAATAACAAAGCTGTGTTTATTATGTCTCTCTTCCTTGACTACTCTAATTTTATCACTCTTTTATGGTTTTTAGAGTGTTTTCTATAATATTTATGTTGTATCTCAATCTCTCTACCTTGTTATGCTTCCTCTCAAACTCGAAGATTGAGTCCTTGTGACATCGAAAAAGAAAAAGAGCATATCACCTATCTAGAGATGGGGAGTCGGGGATTGGGACGGGGTCGGGGTCGGGCCCAAAATAATTCCCCAACCTTAGGGATAGAGTTTGGCTTCACCCCGATCAATAGGAACCCATGGGGGCCCAACTCGCCCCGAGCCCCATATATATATATATAAGTTTCATTAAAAAAAACATAATATCATTTCATTTAAAAAATTTAATAGAAGATCTTTTCTATGCAATCTTATCAATATTCAATAAATCTTGTTAATCTTATATTAATTTGAATGGTTGAAAATTAATCAATGAAACAAACTAAACAAATTAATTAAAAGAAAGAAGATGAACTTTACTTGGTTTCATTAAATTATTATCACACTCTCGTTTTTTAAAAAGTTTCCACCATATTTTTGATGTTGTGCTTTCCTTGCAATGATGATGAGTTCGTGCTTTTTAGTATTAATTTTGAAGTGTATTATTTCTATACTATATAATAAAATAATTTTATTATTATTATTATTATTATTATTATTATTACTGCATTAAAATAACAGAGTATCATTTCATTAAAAAATTTTAATATAAGATATTTTCTATGCAACCTTATCAATATCCAATAAATCATATTAATCTTATATTATTTTAAATAGTTAAAAATTAATCAATAAAGCAAACTAAACAAATTAATTAGAAGAAGGAAGATGAACTTTATATAAGAACAAATTAGAATCATTGTAAATTAAAATTACCAATTAATTAAAAGAAGGAAGATGAACTTTATGTGTATTATAAAGATGGAGAGAGAGACACAATAAATTGTAGCACAAAAGTCTAATATCCAATTTTAGACAATAATATTTGCTAAATTCTAATATCTAATTTTACTATATATCTAACAAGTTACTAATGTTATAACTAACAAGTCTTAGTACATATTATAATTGATCATGGATTATATGTAACAAGTCTTACTATATTATAATTAATTTGTGACATTTCATTTAAATAATATTTGTAATTAATCTGTCCATTAATTTTGCTTGTATTCTCCTATTCATTTTCTTTTCTAAAAAAAAATCACATTTGTCAAGAAATTACCGCTTTAATAATTATTATTTTCACACTATTAATTGATCAAATGTGATTATAATTATGTAAACATTGAGTGAAATCATATACAAATAGGTAATAATAAATGTTTTTGTATTCAAATAAAAGCTAAATATTCAAATAAAAAACCACGTGCTTCTAAAAATTAGATACCAATATTAATGTACTTTTAAAAAATAAAAAATAAAAAACCTAAGGCTCTAAAGGCATGAAAATCCTAACCTAGTCTACAAGCAATAATCCTAAAGCCCATCAAAGCCTTAACCTAGCCCATAGTCAAGAATCCTAAAACCCATCATAATTGTTGACCCCGCAAAGACCCCATTGACCGGGATGGGACTAAGGGTCAACCCAATACCCGCAAGCCAAGCGCAGGATCCCCCTTCATCCCTGACCTCAGGGACGGGTCCCTACACTCATCAGCAGATTAAGCTAAACTAAATCCAAACTTGAATTTCTCATCTCTTATTAATCAACTTTTCCAAGGAATGATAAATAAGAGCAACAATGATGTCTATGCTTATGTGATTTGGTTTAATCTTTCATCGTGCCTGGTGGAGCAAACAAACATAGGATTTTCTGATGTTTTGTACCTTTGACTCGGTGAATGAAAAAAATTTAAAGATTTCACTCTTCTTGTAACAATATTTCCATGGTGAAGGACAATATTATTTCAACTCCAGCTATAAATGGCAGTATTCCTCAAGGGATTACCCGAAAAAGGATCATCAAAATAAAAAAAAAAAAAAAAAGTCATAGGTGTATCTACCATGACTATTCAAATCATTCTTGTTCATGCACAAAGTATTCTAATTAATCAAAACAGTTCCTATTGTAAAAGAAAGCATTAAATTCTTGGATGAGAATCTGAAGATTCTAATTCCAAAGTAATGCATAGTGTAAATGACACGTAATACTGCGTAAGATGATAATGATAATTTTTTCTGGATACAACTTGAAAAGTATGGTATTAGTCTCAAATTAGCTCTGCGATCCCCGTTCTGAAGTTATCCCAAGAGGCATCAATGCCATTGATGATGTTATCGCATTCATGATATTGACTCAAAGCATTGTTGGATGTTCTTGGTGATTCCACAAGAATCCTGTCTTGTTCCTCTAAAGAAGCAATGCATTTATTTTTCTGCTGAAGTTGCTTTCTTAGCTCCTCTTTCTCCTTAGTTGCAACCTTAATATCTCTCATAAGTTGGACAAATTGGCTGTGTTTGCTTGACAATTCTTCCTTCAGAGTGGTTACTTGTTCTTTAACATTTTCAATCTCCCGAATACTCTATTGACATTGAGAGTATGTAAATGTCTCTTCAAACACTTAGCATACGGAAGCTCAAAACCGTGTCAAGCATATATATGGTGAAGTAGTCAATGCTCATCAACAACATAAGGGATGAAAGAAACTTATCCCTTTGATTTTGACAAGTGAGATGCTCAAATCCATGAGACAGCAGCGACGGATAAACTCCTTCGCATCGTTTATCTCATGACTACTTACCGTTGGCTGCTGTGAACACCCTGGTAGAACCTCAAGAGAGTCGTCAAGCATACTCTCATGTTTTGCAATGAAGATCCTTGCATCATCTATAGCCGAGAATGAAACTTGAGTAGTGCCTTGTAAAGAGGAAAAAAAAAATTAAATTCAAAGTGATCGAATCCATATAGAAGTGAAAGCATATTTCTTGATCAAGATACGAGAAGAAATGAATTACCTCACTCTCTAGTTGGCTGAAGGTACAGAGCTAGCAAGGCTTCTGGCAGAAGCTTGAAAAGAGGGTTGTGGAGCTACTAAAAGGGCCAAATAAGTGTTGGAAATATCTGCTGGAGAAGTTGGCAAAGATGTTGTAGTGAGAGGATGAGATTCAGCAGAATTATATGAGAGGGGAGGAATCTACGCCTGCAATAAAAGAAGTCACAAGAAACCGAGCCTAAGGAATTTTCATTCATTTATTGGAAGGGGAGAAAGTTACCATGGTTAAAGGAGGTGCAATAGGTTGTATTGAGGTAGTAGAATCTTGGTCTTTGGAATGAAGAAGAAATGGGAGCTAGTCGCCTAGTCCTGGTTCCAATGCCATTGCAGGCTCATCTATTAAAAAAAAAAAAATGATACGTTAGTTGAGATACAAGTTGGAGTGAACATAAAACAATTAAGGAAAGAAATTACCTGCAGTTCCCTCAACTATAAGGTTCCTGACTTCCATTGTCTCATTGACAATTGTTGCTTCTTTATCAGATTCAAAGATACTAGTCAAGGGTTTTTATGCTGGCGCTGTTTTCGAGAAAGAAGCAGTTTGGATAATCTAATACACAAACTAATATACATGAGCCTGGAAACTTTACCTGCAATTGTAGGGTTTCAATCAAATAAAGGAAGGAATAGTAAACAAAAATTGTATTTGAAACCCATAATCTCAGATCATAGATTGATGTTAATAACCCATTCAAAACAAACATATATATAAGATTAAACAATCGCAATAATCATACCTTCAATTAGAGGCTCGTTGGGGTAATGTAGAAAAATGCTATCACTTCAAGGGCAGAAGTGCACCCTTAAAAAAAAAAATTCTCTCTGCAACCTTTTAGCTTGGGAGGCAAGATTGAGCTGATGAGCAATGATGAGCAAATAGGGTTAAGGCCCCTTTTTATAGGCAAACCCTAACCCTAGAGCTCCTTGTGATATTACATGAATACTTCCACTGATATATAATTTAATTAGACTTTACTTGGTGCCAATAAAAAGTCAGTTTGGTATTTAATTATTATTGCCTTAATCATACAATAATAATTCACTACTTAAAATGCATATACACCAATATATATAAGTAGATATGTAATCTTACAAATTAAATCCAATGTTAAAACTGGACAAAGGCAACAACGTTCCAGCAAATTTAATTGCATCGTAAGCATTACCAAAATACCCCTCGTCCTGAAATGACGAAATTACCCTTATTCCAAATATTCTTTTCATTTGTCTTTTAAGTGTGCGGCCCATAGGCTTCTTATCATGTTGACAGTGGGTAATATCACAATTGATACTCAATGAATTATCTTATTACACACAGACTAAGATTGACCTCTAGCTAGGCATCATGATGACCCGATAGATTTGGATTCAGCGTCAACTACTAGTCAACGACATGGTTACCGTGCAATTGAATCATTTCATCATCTATTATCTCGTCAAGATTTGAAGTATAAAAATAATGTCAATTTCAAATGTACTACCTTGACCTATTTGTAATCGGTAATTCAAACTAACAACTTACTGAATTTGAGCAGCAACTTAATTCCACTATGGTTACAGTTTTATGATTGTTGTCATTTACTAAGTTACTTAATGAGATAAATTCTTTTGTATCCAAGAATGATGAATCCTGTGTCGATCCACCATAACTATAGTGTACTTCTAAATATAGCCAATCACTTCCATTCTATTAGCCCTAAATAGGACTATGTTCGGTCAAATTGCATCGATATTTACACATAGCGCTTTGGTGATCTCAAGTCTAAGGATCATAAGCACCACCATCTATTAGAGGATGTATTCCATAGACATTTCAGGTTACCATCTATGTGGAATTCTCTGGTGGGTTTGTTCAGTGAACTTGTCAACTACAACCACCCATGCATCACACCAAGTTGTCCCCAAACAACTTTAACATGCAAGATATGTTACCATCTTTCGATAAGGTCGTAAAACACGATGATAGCCTTACCACATTATATATGCCTTTAATTCAGGATAATATTGTGGCTACGAGCAATTTTTAGAATGGCCACCAATGTGCTTATAGGGCTTTCACAATCAAGACTTATCACTACTTGATTCCCTCATTATGGTTCTACCATTCTAAGGACATATATTATAACATATATGAAATATAATGTACATAACATAGAGATGCCTTTTATTAATGTCAACATGTTTTACAAGTAGTCAATAACTACAATTTGATTGGCTTTAGGGCACCTACCATAATAGTAACATCTATTATATCATTTGAGATACAAGCAATTCCATTGCCTTCAAGATTAGAGCCAAGATTTTCATTTTTTTAGAGGGCTAATTCAAGTGAGCCAACATCATGCTATTCTTCTGTTTTGATTTCCTCATTGGCAGGTTTAGGATCTTGAGTGTCTGCAATTACTTTCAGAACCAAATTCAATAACCACACTTGTTCTGATGGAGTCTCAAGCAGCAACAAGTTGATCTTGTTTGTAAAAACCCTAAATATGGCTAATATTCCTAGAGGGGGTAAATAGGAATCAATAAAAATTATCACAGAATAAAAACTATCACCACAAGCAATGACTAATGATGAGTTTATGATGCATGATTAATTCAATTGCATATGTAGCAAGTGCACTAGTCGCAAAAAGTAATAAAGTGATGAAGTGAATATCGTCCCTAGGGGTGAGCACGGGTAACGGGTGGAACCGGAGCGAGAATCAGAACCTACTCAGAACCGGCACTGTGCAGCTAGGTTCCGGTTCCATTTATTGGAACCGACACTTTGCTGTTCTGGTTCCGGTTCTTATGTGTGAAGGAATTAGAACCGAAACTGGAACCTGAAACGGGTACCCGGTTTGGAGTCTCCTTGGAACCTATAGCGGGTACCCAATTTGGAACCTGTTTGGAATCGATTTTTGGAACCTGTTTTGGAACCTATTTTGGAACCTGTTTTAGAACCTAGGCTCCAATGAAATATTTGTGAATAATGGGGGGTTTCATTATTTTACACATAAAAAATTTAAAATAGAAAAAGTTAAAATTTTAGAATAACCTAATTAAATAAATATACAATGATACTGATTACATATAAACTACACCGTATGAAAAACTATAATATATTAATATTAAAGTTTTGATTAATTAAGTTTATAACTGGAATTAGGATCCAATTAAAAGTGTTTTAATGTTATTAAAAGAATCATTTTTGAATAAAATAGTATATTTGATTGAATAATAATATATTTAGTTATTTACTTCAATTATCAAGTTTTAAGCATATCTATAGTAAATTAACAATTAATTAATTATATATGATAAATTCATAAACATTAATAAATTTAATTACAAGTTAAATATCATACTTAATCAATTATAACATTACATTATAGTTAAATGATTACTTAATTAATTAGAATTTTATAACATTACTTAATTGATTTATAGTATAATTAATTATAGCATTACATTAATTGATTACTACTTAATTAATTGACTTATAACATTTAGTATATGTTAGGGCCAAAAATCGGCCTTGGCCCAAATAGGAAAACGGGCTCGACAGTGAAGAAGAAGCCAGGTCCAATCTCGATATGACCCAACCGGATTAGGCCTATTCGGTACAAGATATAGCTAGCCCAAACCATGTGGGCACGAGCCTCCTAATCCCAGTCCATTTCCTAGGTCCATGGGTGAGTCCAGAGCCCACGACCCACTCAGAATACTTTCCTACTCCTGATCAATCTCCTATTCAAGGTCACCTTTCTATTCCTGATCACTTTCCTACTCGAAGTTACTCTCCTAATCATAATCACCTTCCTATCTAGACACTAGTAAGACAGCTTAGCACGACCCTAATTCTTCTAGGGTTTGCATCAGAGTCACACTAGGACTCCTACTTTTACCAGGATTGGGAGACCAGACAGTCACTATATAAGTAGAGGCCAGCCCTCTCACAAGGGACATTACATTACACCTTTACACTGAAAGCTCTGACTTGAGAGCTCCGTATCACCGCCGTAGTCATAGTCCCCGACTAGACTTCCGGTAACCTCTATTCCCTAGCCCTTACTATATTGACCTCTCTCAGCCTTGCTGACCTGAGAGTTGGAGTGCCTGTAGCAAACACCACCCCGGTGTTTCCCGTTCGCTTCACGTGTTTGTTTCTTTACGTGTGCAGGTGCAGCAGATCGCTAGTGGCCTCAACCTCATGGGATTAGTCCCCCCTTCCGTACAGGTAGATTTTTATGTCTACAGTTTGGCGCCCACCGTGGGACCTCTAGCAATCATTCGACTCGACGAACCTTGCTACGTGGAGGAACATTCCATGGTTGACAATCTCGACAACGTTAACCCCGGCCTCGAGGCCAGACTGGAGGCTTTGACCGCTCTCATGCAACAAAACTCAGACAAGGTGGCCGTACTAGAAGTTGAGAACAATGCAATCCGGACCGAAAACGCATCCATTAGGGCTGAAAACCAGTCTCTTAAAGAGAAGGTGAGTTAATTCTATGATCTCGAGTTCTTGCCCAACCAAGTACCCCCCAATCGGTTCCGCGCCCCTGTCCCATCCATGCAACCTCTCTCCATACCAGAGCATCGACCTTCGTTCTCGGGTAAAGGGTCGCGTCCATTAAGCGCACTGGCGCTCGACGACTTCATCCTGACTAATGGAGACAAATATATGCCAACAGAACACCATCTAGGCAATCCATCCCAGCCTCGTGATCAAGACGATCCAGTAACAGAAAGCCCGCATCTACAAGACCAGCCCATCCTTATCGTCCCACCTCACCACCAGTCAACCACCCCAACACAAACCCCTTTCGGCTCAGTTCACCCTCGCAGGTGTGAACCAAACCAACTCTAGCACTCGAGCCCATCCAAACCAACTCTAGCACTCGAGCCCATCCATCCTGACGGACCGAGTAACTACCAGACGACTCCCCTGACTATTCATGTAGGATGGAATAATAGAACAGTTACAATGGGAGTCATCCAACCAGAAGGAATGAACAAAGATCCATGCTACCAAGGAATGCATGACGGAATGATCCATTAGTCTGCCCCTCGAGGGGTGACCCAATGGAATGTGCCAGGACGAATACAATAACAGACCCAGTAAGACGGGATGACCTGGTAGTATCCCCCTCTCCTATGGAACAAGTACTGGCCAAGAGGCTAGCCGATGTGGAGGTAGTGATGAGATGCATTCCAGGAATGCCGGTCCCAACCAAGAAGAGTAGGCCCCACTGTTACGCTGATTCACCCTTTGTGGATGAGATCGCCTTGGCCGACATGCCCCAGAAATTCACCATCCCTAACATGAAACCATACGATGGTACCACCAACTCAAACGACCACATAGCCTCATACAAACAGTGGATGTTCACAGTCTCAATACCCCGACCGCTTAGGGAAGCCTGCATGTGCAAAAGTTTCGGTTCTAGTTTATCCAGCCCGACACTCTAGTGGTACACGAACCTCCCGAACGGATCCATCGATTCATTCGCCCAGCTTACCGACACCTTCGTGGAATAATTTACCAGTAGCAAGAAACTAGAGAACTATCGGCCGACCTGTATCGAATATACCAGAG